TAGGTGGGCAGCGCTGCTATCAGGGTGGACGTTGGAAGTCACCAAATATGTGAAGGGTGAAGACGAAATCCTTGGACCAATCGCAGCTAGCATCACTTCACGAGCTGATGTCGACGAAGCCTTAGTCGCGATAGCACCCAAGAAACAGCCACGGAAAATGATCACCATGCCTTCACCAACGATCGAACAAGACGTGAACCTCTTGGTGGTGGGTTTCGACGGGTCTGCGCGGGTGAGGCGCAGCGGCGGTGCGTATAGTGCAGTCGTGTGGAAACTCCCGGAGTGGACGGTGGTGGAAGCCATGTCGGAGTATATGCCAGATTTGACAGTGAACGAGGCGGAATACCGTGGACTGATTCTTGGTTTCGATTTGCTTTCGACCTTGGACAGGGGGCGCGTCGTAATCTGTTGTGACTCGAATTTGGTGATTCGTCATATGCAGAGTGAGATGGACTGCAAGGCACCAGGCCTGCAACTGCTCCGACAGAAGGCGTTGAATCGACTACGGTCGTGGCCAAAGCACGAGTTCCCTCACGTGAAGCGTGAATGGAACCAGAGTGCGGACAAGTTGGCAAGTGCGGCGCTGCAACGGGAAGAAAGCGAAATAGTCACCTCAGAGGACGACCGTCAAGATTAGATCACCCTCAACCGACTGGGCGAACTGCTGAAGCCAAAGTTGATCGAGTATGAGCGCGGACGTATCAGCCGTAACCGCTTCGACGTGATGCAATCACATGAAGAAGGGATGAACGCTGAGTAAGTCATCGGCGGGTAGAGATAGTGCTTGGGGTGGCCACACACTGGGTGGATAGGTATTTGTATGATGCGAAAAGACACCGGGCAACGACCGGGACAAGAGAAGGGAACATCGAAAGTTAGAAGGGAAGCTCAAGTGATGAGACTGGAAGATCAAGATCGATGATCAAAACCGATGATCGGGATCGATGATCGAGATCGGTGATTGAAACTGACGATCGAGATGGATGGTCGAGGCTGGAAGATCGAGATCGAGAATCGAGATCGAAGATCGAGATGGTTGATCGTAACCGATGATCGGAATAGTGGATCGAGGTCTACGACCGTAAGTGATGATCGAGCCGACGATCGAAGAACCAGAAAACAGAATCCAGACATGGGGGCGAAGAGCTGAAGCAGAGAGCCGACAACCGCGCGAAAATTGTGGCCACTGCCGTGTAAGACGATGCGCAATAGAGGTGTCGAGGGCGAGAAACCGTGAAGGAAGTAAAGCTTCATCGATGCGGTCAGCCAGACGATGACACGAGAGCATGTGCAACTGCAAAAGCAAGAGAGGTTAGCCTCAAAACAGAGAAGGAACTAGCGCAACGCACATGATACGAACAAGGTCAAGGCAAGTGTGGTTGAGAGACGCAGGGCGCCGACTATGTTGATCAGCTTACCGGAAACTAAAGCTACTCCTGAGGGATGAACTTGCCCTCAAGACGGGGAAGCTGGGAACCGGGGTGATCTTCAATAGCGTTGCGGTACTGGTTGCGCCAGGGGTTTTGGCGGTCAGCGTCACGAAGAGCTTGAAACAGGTTCGCTGGCCGTGGAGTGCAGTGTAGACCAGAATATCATTTCGAGCTCTCGCCAGGGCGTGGAAAATGGAGGAAGACAGGATCCAGGAGAATGTC